TAAACGATATAAATTACGTATAAATTACGCAATTGATCAAATGATAATTTGATTGGCTAATTATTACGGAGACTCACGGGTAGATCTACAAAAATTAACCAATCAGACGAATGTCTTCCTATGAAAGCACACCCGCAGCTCATATATACCCGAAAATAAGCAATTAAATATCGAGTCGTTCAGATTATTAGTTGAGATTATACCTGAAATAAGCACTCTTATAGTAAAAAAGGGTGCTTATTTTCGGAGGAATACGGTAATACTGTAATATACTTCACCATTTTTTAAGTATTCATCAATTTTAGTAGTCTTGACTCTACTCATAGTGGATGATTTTTGCCACTTCGTCTAAATTAAATGACAAATAGATTGTTTAAACTCTAAATATGCGTCATCAAAATTAATGCTTAATTTAGAATGGTTGCAGTAAATTATTTACCATACTGAGCTGGTTAATTTTCTTTGTCTAGTCAACGATTTAAATAAATAAATAAAAATTTACTATTTATTTGATATGTATGCAACTTAAATCTCGTTTTGTTCTTGGTCAGACCATTATTCTACCTGTATTTCGTATGAAGTTTCTATTTTAAACTTTTATCATACCTGCGTAAATTTTCCCGATTTCGTTCTCACATGGTTGATTGTCTGACTAAATATAAATTATCATAAGGTGTTACGGCAAAAACATGCTATATAAATATGAATTTATTGTTAATAATACGTATACTGGATTCTGCAAAATAAATATTTAAAATAACGGATATTGTTAACATTTTGTTAACTTCGATTTATTATCTAGCGCTAACGTTTAATGTTCATGCAAAAGCACAACAATAATGATAAAGTAAATTATAAATTGGATTTATTGATACCGTTATACCGTAGTTTTTTCAGGCAAAAATCACTCAATTTACTTGACAATTTGCTTGGAGGCATAACCCAAAATGAAAATTAAGAATCACGTAAGAGGAAAGATCTGTACTCCGTAGGAGGACTTCGTATGATTAGCCAATGCAAATCAATTGCCTGGGTAACTTATTTATACAGCTTGAAGTACTTGTTGCGTTTCACTAGCAAAAATCACTGTCGAAAGAAATAATCAGAAATCACTTTTATTAAAATGCACCTATGGCGTTTTACCACCTATGTTGTATTAGCTTAACTGGCTAATTAGTACGTAAGTATGCGGTATTCTAAGTAAAATGCTCTACGCCCAAAAAATCTTTCCAAACCATAATATTAACTTAAATACTAACCCCAACATGAATATTTTGAGCCAAAAATTATATATATAATATATAAAATTATATGATAGGTGCAAAGTGTTTTATAATAAGTGATCAAAAATAAACAGTAACCCTGAAAACTTCGTTAGGGGCGAAAATTTCATTATTTAAAACTATTATTAGTTGTTATTAGCCATATACAAGTAATAAAAACAAAAAACAGCTGAATAAAAAGAATGATTAAAACGTTTAAGCTTAGATTCTGAAAAAAAAATTTTTTATTGTTTTCAGTTTAAAAATTTTTTTATTGATGTAATACTTTAATATTGTGTAGAGTTAACTCATTAAGTAAACAGGCATAAATATGATTTTGGTACAATAGATACATTTAGAGTTAATTAATAATATAGCAATGCAAAGATTGTAATAGCAAAAATATATTAATTCGAAATTTATAATTAATAAAGTTCAATTAATGTATTCTTATATAGCAGATATTAATGCGAGTAACAAAATAGAGAAATATAATGGTGTTGTTTAATTAATAATATATCTCAGGTTTATTAATGCCTCTAGCAATAAATTTCGCTAATATATTTACTCTCTTGATGAATTAGTTTGATTGATTACGTTTCGATCAACATATATTAGCTAATCATATGAATATCCTTGTACGTTATGAGATTATTAATAAGTTTCGCAGATCAGTATTATATATTATATATATCGTACGTATCTAAAGTTACCTATACTTTAGATATATAAAGTTGACCTGACTAAAATTAAGCCCCTGAAATTAGAACTTCATACATATAATTCTGGTTAGGTGCAACTTTATATATCTAAAGTTGCAACTTCAGATAGATAGTAATTTTAGATACGATATATATGTGAGCGTTGGATTTTATAATTTTGCTGATCCGTATAGTATAAATTTGAATGCTATACTGATCCACAAAACTACTTATTAATACAGTGTCGGTACATTTTTTAGTATATTTTGAGGGATTTTTGCCATCAATAATCAAGATTTTACAATACAGCAATATATATTCAACATATATATAGTTTTTATAGTTTTTATTACTCATACACAATGCGAAATGTAAGGAGCACAATTTAAAAAAGTTCTAGAATTCAAGTGATCGACATCACTAAGCTAAGTATAATTAACAAATATTACTATTTTGAGTGAGGGGTTTTTGCCTATATGCAATGATGCATAATCAATTTTTTTAAAAATTGTTTACAAATGATTGATTTTTCAATATAAATACACCTACCAAGAGACTTCTCTCAAAATCAAAAAAAAACGCAAATAATAAAATATAATTCACTAAACAAAATATCAAATTTCATACTCAACCTTAAAAATTTTCTAAAATGTGCGACGATTGTAAATGCGGTTCTTCTTGCCAGTGCGCTAACTGCGCTTGCACAAAAAATACTAAACAACATTTCGTCGATAAACAGATCGAAACAGACCCTAACTGTGGTGTCAGGTAATTATTGCAAAAAAAAAGAGTTTTGATATGATTATGATTAATTATCGTACTAATAACCCTTATGTTCTCCGTCTGTAGTACCTGCAGTTGCGGAGAAAATTGCAGCTGTTCTCAAGAGAGTTGCAAATGTTAATTCTCTCATAACCACGCATTATATTTTATATTGTAAAGCATTGTTATTCGTTTAGGCCTCAGATATAAAGTCTTTTCATGTTTTAAATTATTATTATTATTTATTATGCTCTATGTTAAAGTAATGTAGTTACAGAATAATTTTTAGTTCAAGAAATATTATAAATGTCGCTTTATTGTTAATTTTCGTTTGTAAAAATGAATTTCTATAACGTTCTCTGTTAGTGCAAAAATTTTTATATTCCCTTGTAACTGATAATTATTATAGTTAGTAATTTGAAACACAATGAAAATTGTTACATACAGTATCTAGCGTGAGGTAAACCATTCGATTAAGAAATATTAATGAATTTCTAGTGTAAAATGAATTATTGCAAATATCACAGCTTTTACTATATTATTAACTATTCTCTAATTGATGGTCGGAGGCAGTGTTAGAGATCTGAAATTTTTTTTTTGTTCTCTGAGAACATAAATTTTAAATTTTAGGATCTCAGAAAGATTTTTAATGTTCTCAAAAGTTTTTAGATATAATACAATTTACAAATTTTATGTTCTCAAATGAGAACATAATTTTCAAAATTGTGTTCTCAAAAATATTTTAATGTTCTTGAGAACATTGAGAACATTAGATATCTAACACTGGTCGGAGGTTATTTTTCTACTGAGTTTAAATTTTTAAGTATAACACGTAATTCCCCATCAAAAACTATTAGTAAATGGGAATGAATCTATTTATTCGATGATGAATATTTTTGATTATTCAATAAATTTGTATAAGTTGCCCATCAATCATATTAACGAAAAGGATTTCAGTATAATAAAAATAAAGGCATAGTATAAACTGATCATATATCACTGATAAATTATTATTAAATTACTGTAATATCATTAAATTATTGTAATAAATTTTGCTCTTATAATTCTATATTTAATTATGATATTGCAACATTTGTACCGTATTCTTCCGAATATAGCATCTTTTTTTTATATAGGATCACTTATTTTCTGGTATAATGATCTGAACGACTTGATATTTAATTGCTTATTTTAATTATATGGGGTTAATTGGTTAAATTTAACAGGTGACTATCGGGAAATCTCGTGATGTGTTGGCCTTACGTGTCTCCGTGAAATTTTTCTTTTACAATTATCTTGATTTTTTATTATGCAAATCGACTTTCATTTATAATTGAAAAATATCGATCATGTCAAATTTATATAAATCTAATGAAAACTCATTTTTCAAAAAATTGCAAAAAAGAGCTGTTTTAATAGATAACACCCCATATAAGAGGTGCTTATTTTCGGGTATACCGGTATATGAATTGTTGGTGCTTACTTTCGGGAGTGCTTGTTTTCAGATGAATACGGTGCTGTAATCAGTAAATTATTTTAACATTTAAATTCAATAAAGTTTACATTGCTAGTACTGTAGTAAAAATATTATCACAATACTGTATTTACGATCACTAAGACAGTTATTTGTACTATACCAATTAGATAAGATATTATTCATTCCGCATGACCCAGCTTCCAATACGATAATAAATACATACCAACATGATATTGCCCTTCTTGATGTTCTTTTTTCTATATAATTCAAATATCTTGATCTTTTTCAATGTCTAATCCTCTATTGTAACAAAAAGCAATTTATCCAAAAAGACAATCATCGTTGGCAGATTTCATAAACCATTCGAATGCATCTTTCTCTATTTCGACTCCTTCTAGATAGCAAAAACAATCAAAAAGGCGCCTATAGAGAATCAGTTTTCCATGGATTTGTTTATCCTTCCCGACACTATATCCATAACAATAAACTGATATTACTGTTCTTTGGGTGTCAATTTTCTGCGGATTTCACGTACCATTATAATGCCTTCTTTTTATCCTTTTCAACCCACTTACCAAGACGAGACAATTGATTACACTAATTAATAATATCATTAAATTTTTTTTTTTTTTTAAAGAATTTCTGAAATATTTTTAAACTTAATTACAAAGATTACTTAATTCTTTAAGCATTTGATAGGGAAGCAAAGTATGCAAAATTAGATTCATTGTATAAAAATTATCGTATTTACACGTAATAACGCCCTGTGCCTTATTTGGATCCCTGCGTGTTATTTTGAGCAAAAATGCGATTTTTTTTAAAAAAATCTCGTAACAAATGGGTGCCATTATAATAACTAAATTAGCAACAAAGTTTTAAATCCAAACTATTAGAAAACACATTTTGTCTCTCATCGGGGTTATAAATGAAAAACAACTATAATATTCTGTCCTTTCTACTTTCGTGATACATCTACTACTAATAGCAGAATTTAAGAGTATCAAATAGACAACCTACGCATTTTGCTACTGTTCACCATGAATGTTATTACGATAGAGTGGGCAAAAAAAAAAAAACAGAATTTGTCTGAAAAAAACACACTGACTAGTAAACCAAAAGCTAGGCTAGTGAAATGTATTCAGATACGAGAAATTCCTTCGTGACTGTAGCCACTCCACTTTAAAAGCCCAAATTATAACCGTCGTACTATAGGTTATAACTCTATAAAACAAATAAACAATAACAGTAGTCTGACAGGGCATCAAATTATAGTTTCTAAGCAGACCGCCAAATCAATTGCTAGGATGGGACAAAAAAACCGACAAAGTTAGGTTAGCAGGAAAAACATAAATTACCTTTCCCTTTAACGTTAAATATTACGAACGATTACTAATCACAAATACGAGATTATACAATAAATCATACGATAAAATCACAACAATGCATCAATCTACCAATTGATCAATTCGAGACAAAATGCTGCTCAGATTAAGTTACACGACATGAAAGGTGGCGCTATTTGGGACGCGCATAGGCGATATTTTGAGTAATTTAACAGGACCCTGAAATATCTGTAGATAGATCAGGTGTTACTAAGGCCGTTCAAAGTTGATTAGTTGATTAACGTCATCCCCTCTTGGTTACTGATAAGGATGGCAAAAAACATGGTTTTATTTTTTGTGTTTTAAAATATATTTTAAACCATGTTTTAAAACATTTTTTGTGTTTTTTTATTAAATATCATATAAAAATATCACACTTGAAGTTGCAATTTATCTAAGTTGCTACTTTAAATAAATATAGTATCTGATCAATATTAAGCTCTAAATTAAACCTTTATGTATGTAATTCTAACTAGATGCTATTAGATATTTAAAGTAATAACTTCGGATAGATGCAATATGCAAAATTCAATTTTGATTTTATGTTATTAATGAGAATATTTTTCAAGTTCTCAAGATTTTTTTAATATTCTCAATATAGAAAAATTAAATTTGTATAATATCAAAAATATATATATTATTAATATTTTTACATAGAGAAAATGTTTTAATAAATTATGTTTTTAAAATTTTATTAGCATTCTCAAAGAACATTGAGAATATTAAATTTTGCATACTGGATAGGTAGCTACTTAAAATGTGACATAATCATGTGATTAAAATTCTATAATTAGATTGGTTAATAAATAATCATTTGTTTTTTTATTGTTTTTATTGAAATTTTAAATGGTTTAAAAAAACCATTTAAAACATGTTTTAAAACATTGGCCATTCCTAGTTACTGACTCCCAAAATTAAACAAGCAAATCACAACACAGCAAAAAGTTCATAAGATATTGGGATGTCAATAGAGACCAAGCAAATTGTTTCTAAGTAAATTTTTTTTAAACTTTAAATTAAAATATCTTAACAACTATTAAACCAAACTTGATAAAAAATTTTTTATTTTAATTCTATATAGTTATAGAATTAAAATAAAAAAATTTATCAAGTTTGTTTAATAGTTGCTAAGATATTTTAATTTAAATTTTCAAAAAAAAAAACATTAAAAACAATTTGTTTGGTTTCTATTGACACCCCCATATGATTAAAGCTGACCAATGAAATTTAATCGGAATGTTCTTGGACATATATGTGTTTGTTTAAATCCTGCCTCCAACTAATCAACTTCGAGCGGCCTAAAAATGAAAAGACTTGCAAAAAAAACAACAAGATAGCATTTTTATATCGTAAGTTTTTTTTGATTTTCAAAAAATACGCTTTTTTTAATTTTATACGAATCTGACCCGTCTATGAATATTTCGGGTCCTAATTTAACTAATTTTTTGAAAAAAGTAAAATTCAAATTAACGACCCGACCTGCTATTACGCGCAAATAAGGTAAGCATATTAATTCAAGAACTTCATATTTTCATTATACGCAAAAATTTACATAGTAGAAATATATTACGTGGTTGTTATCATTGCTGCATATGTTAGCGACTTAAGATAAAATCTGGTAAACTCACGGTTTTACCATACATTGCTTCGGAAGTTTCAAATCAGATATTTGCTCTTGGAATAATAATATCTGAAATTTTTACTGAATACTTAATATACGATATTCCACATTATTTTGATCTAGCATTAAAAATTTGTGAAGGGATATTTTTAAAAACTTTGAGCAAAGTTATCTCAGCAGCCATCTGATCAAATTCGATGAAAATTATTTATTAGAATTCTATGGATCTATAGAATTCAAATAAAAAATATTTCATCTGATTTGATCAGGTGATTTCTGATATATCTTTGCTGAAAAAAATTTGGTGCAGCTTCTATTTTGAGCGATGATATTTCAGCAACTACCTGATCAAATTCGATGTTTTTTTTATTTGAATTCTATAGATTTATAAAATTCAAATAAAAAAAATTTCATAGAATTTGATCAGATTGTTGCTGAGAAATCACTTACAATTAGGGTGTGTGGCACGGCGGTCACGGGCATGCCATAGGGCATGCCTTATAAAAGAAAACAGATAAAATTTGTCTTGTGAATAATTTCGATTAACCAATGATATTTTTGCAATATCACGGGATGATTACAAAATCGGCCACAATGAAAGCCCGCTATGCTATTTTCGGAGGCATACGATACAAAAATCACAATGATTATTTCGAACGCGCTTTGTTAATATGATTGATGGATTGACTTCTACAAATTTATTGAATAATCAAGAAA